GCAAACTTAATACAACAAGAAATCTCTTGTTCGCATACAACAAAAATACAATAAATAGTTTTAAGAGAAATACCTTGTCAGTCATTTTTATGAAATATGTATTGAAGAGGGATTGCTGCCTAAATATACTGCTATACACACCTTTACACACACACACATATATATATGCAAATTTCGTTAAGAACGACTGACAAGATGCTGTCGTTAAGTTTTTTATATAATTTTACGTGTTCTTATAGTTTTTTCTTATCAGGACATGAATTATGTAAAAATTGTCTAAAAGTTCTATATATCTAAGCGCTTTCGGCTATACTTTTAGCCATTATCAAGGATGAATTTTATTTTATTTTAACTGAATATATGTATTGCTTTTTATGTATGTACCTAGAGTTATAGGAATGTTGTATTTTCCAAATATGGTCAGCACATTGTGACCATGTTTATAGTTGATATTATTGAGCGTTGGCTTTTCCTTTTTTATTAATAACGCTTCCATTATTCCATTATTTTATTTTCCATGTTATACACAATTATATATATATATATTGTGTGTGTGTGTGTGTGTGTGTGTGTGTGTGTGTGTGTGAAATCTAAATGTATATCTAAATGAAATAATAATAAAAACGAAGGTGTCTGAAGATTTTAATTTTTTATATTTTTATTGTTCAATATATATATATATATATATATATATATATATATATATATATATATATATATATATATAACATTTTCTTCGTTTTATTGTTTCTTCATTTTATTATTTTTTAAAGTTTTCTTTTAGCTTTTCATTAATTTAATTTTTTACATTTTTTTTAATCTTTTAATTTTCATTTAATTTTTTAACTTTTCCTTTTCCTCCGGTGTTCCTCCACTTTAAAAATTTCATCCTACACTTTGCTTCTTTCTCTCTTTCTGTTTACCCCTCTCTCTCTCTCTCTCTCTCTCTTTTCTGTCTCTGTCTCTCACTCACTCTCTCTTTCTTTCTTATATGTATAGTTTCCTCCTTTTCTCTTTCTTTTTATTCTTCTCGCCTTAGCTCAGTGGTTGGTTGCTAGTTGTCTGAAGTCATCGGAGACTTGGAAGAAAAACACCAGACAACGTTTACCGATATTTGTCATAATATCCGTCCGTTTCGTAAAATAGATTATTCATTCATTCACTTGCTCGCTTGCTCGCTCTTTCACTCGTGTGGGGGCAGTGGCGGCTGAAGTTGTTGGGTGTCGGCCAGTTAGCGCCTCGTTTGGTTCATGCCGACTCGGCACTGAAGACGAACAAAATGGTTGCTTCATAAATATTCCGGGTGTCATCATCATCATCATCGCTATTATCACAATCATCATTCTTATCATTGCCGGCGTAGTCAGTATCATTGTCATCAGGAGTCGGGCTTTTCTTTTTCGCTTTCCTCGTTTCGCGTCGTTTTCTGAAAAATTATTGTCATCATTTATATTCTCCTCTCAACAGTCTATAATATTTTTTCTTTAGATCTATCCTTTTTTTTTATTTGCAGTACATTTTTATTTATTGATTAAACTTCCTGCGTTCAACGTACTTTACGTTATCCTATCAATTTTATTTCAATTGACTTTCCTTCTTCTTACGTCATTTTTCAATGTCTTCTTTTTCTTGATTTTCTCCTTTATTTATTTTCTAACCCCTGTTTTAAAACATTCTTTCTCCATTCTTGCTTTTTTCTGTTTTCCTACCTATTTCCTTTCTCAAACGTCAACGACTTCTTCTTCTTCTTCTTCTTCTTCTTCTTCTTCTTCTTCTTCTTCTTCTTCTTCTTCTTCTTCTTCTTCTTCTTCTTCTTCTTCCTTCCTTCCTTTCCTCTTTCTTTCTTTTTTCTTTCTTTAATAAATTCCTCCTTTTTTTCCTTCCTACCCAATGCATTAACACTCCCCCCCTTCTACTTCTTTTCCATCTCTTTAAACAGTTCTTCTTCTTCTTCTTCTTCTTCTTCTTCTTCTTCTTCTTCTTCTTCTTTCTATCTCTTCCTGCTAAAATATTCCCCTTCCCTTTAAACAGTTCTTATCCATTTTCTTCCTCTTTCTTTCTTTATTTCCCTAATATTTCTTTGAAAACATTTACCTTTTTCTTTTCCCCATTCCTTCTTTCCTATACATTGTCTTCTTTTTCTTCATCATCTTCTCGGCCTGTTATTTATTTATTCATTCAATTCTTTCTCATTAAACACCAACACTATCATCAATATCTTCTTTATCTGAATGATTATATTCATCCTTTTCATTTCTTTTCTTTCTTTTGATTTATTTTTCTCCACTTGGTTTTAGCTTGCGTCTTTTTTTTCTTTTTTTTTTTTTTTTGTAAAGAACGATGAAAACATCCACCGCCAGAAATTCATTTGAGCACATTACTATTTATGCTTGGCCTCGCTACATATATTTACAAAGCTTAGCTTAGTCTGACACAAGGCATCAAGAATGACTCATAAATCGTACTTTCTACATAATAAGAATGGTTAGTGTAACGGTTACCAGAGCAAAAAGTGGAATCGGCAACTCGAGTTCAAATTATAGCCTAGTTTGTGACATTCGCACAAATGTCCTTGCGAAAGGTATAAAGTTATTCCCTTTTTCCCCCGAAAACCTATAGGTTAAATAGTAGTACAGACCGAGCTCTTTAACCTTATGTGAAAGCTGGTCTTTTTTATCATTTCGCCCCAAACAAGGCTATAAAACCACTAAGACGCAAACGTCTACTGAGTGTGAACGAATATGAAAAAGAAATCATTGAGAGAGAAAACAATAAAAAAGGGGAATCAAGAAGACATTTAAATTTTTGAAGTTCACAGTTGACTGAAAAGCAAGAATCCTGAAGATAGTGCCACAAGCGAGAAGTGCGAGAGAAGTAACTGTTTGCTTAGAACTTATGGTTACATCTAGTCAATTCAAACACAAAATTATGAGACCTAACAGCCAATCTAGTAATTCTTAAAGTCGGGGTACCAAAGAGGAATGATCATCAAAACAATTACCATTAAAATATTTATAGAAAAGTTAGAAGGAACCTACCTTACGGCGACGGGAAAAGAAGAAGGATGAGTTTGAATTCAAAGCCGTAGAAAAGGCAACAGGAAACCATTCGACTATATTTCCCAAAAAGTCATGGCAATTCACAAATAACAAAGAAAAAGGAGTTCGTGAAGAGTTATGAAATTGCATTTATCACCATACGGTGACGCAATCTTTATTTATAGATATGATCAGTGTTTGTTTTGTGAAGTATAAATATCAGATCTGGTAATAATTCAATAGATTTATCGGACCCTCTGGCACTGATGAACGTTGTTATGCGAAACACTGGAGCTGGGCAATGAGATAAATCCTTTGAACCTTTATTAATTAATTCTATTGCTGGTGATATATTTTTTTCCCAAAATTGTATTGATGGCAATTTTTAATTTTTTCAACAAGAATGAATTGCTGGAAATATTTTCTTTCTTTTTTTCAAAAATGTATTGCTTCTATTAATATCATTTATGTATTGCTGGTAATATGTTTTTTGTTTGTTTTTTAATGTATTGCTATTAATTTTTTGCTATGAAATTGTATTGATGGTATTTTTACTATAAAATAGTATTTTTATATTTTCGTAGTGTTTTGACACCATTTGGTGGGGAGTAACTATTTGCCCATAATTAGAATCCTAATGGGCGTTACTACCCCGGGTAAGGGTGAACCTGGGGACAACAGCAATTAAGAGGTGGTCCTATGTTCCTCAAAACCTCCCGATCAGAGGCATTAATGCCGGGTGTAATTCATCGTCATACCCAGGATGATCTGTTGAAACTCACATATGATAACGCGAAAGCTTATATATAAACAGATATAGATATATTGAAAGTTGTAAAGCAAAGAGGTGAGCTCTAAGCTATATTTTATTCTGTATTGTTATCACTGTGGTACTTTCACAAAGCTGAAAGTGAATGTTAAATTGGCTTTTCTCTTGATGACCACTTCTTCTCAAGTTGCTCAGATGATATTACTGCACTAAGCAGGAAAAACGCTCGATTCACTGTACCACTCCAATAAGTACCTAACTTCTCGTGCTATCCTGTATCTTTGCAAGAGACAGAACGGGCCTAAATTGAAGTACTGTTGCCATATTTGGGCAGGAGCTGCCCGCTTTTACACTTTCTATCGAGTCCAAAAGCGTCAATATACCCTTGTAGGTGATAAATTATTTTCCACCCTCCAACCTTCCCCCTCTCCCCCCTCACACACACACACACACACACAAGCGTGATGTGGTATGCCTCTTACTGCTCTATCGCTATTTCGGTGGAAAATGTCTAAACAAAATGCATTCCTTAGTTCTGCAATTTCTAACCTTCTTGACCAAGACCCGCCACGTCATTCACATTCTTGCAAACCATTCACATTCTTTCGGTATTCCATTTGCGAGAAGTAAGTTCCACTCGAACAGCTTATTTCACGACACCACTGCTCCGTGGAACCGACTCCTAAGAGGATGTTTCCTCAATCACTACTACTATCTTAACCTGTTCAAGTCTAAGGTTAACCGTTATTTTTCCCATCCTACCCGCATAAACTGTGCCTCTTACTGTTACCCTCTACCTCGAGTGGCCCCCGGGCTTTGCACAACGTGAACCTCACAGTAAAAAATGAAGCGATTCAAGCAATGATTTACAATCATTCCTTGCAATTCTAGCCAGACATGCAGAAATTGGACTTTTTGTAAATGTGTCTAAAACTGAATGCGTGACTACATATAATCAACCCGAATTTTCATCTCACAATCTATGGCAAACCAATTAAACAAGTATCTGAATTTATATATCTAAGACACAAATTGTCATGCAAAAATGATGGAATGATGGCGGTTTAATATAGAATTGGATTGTATTAAGCTGCTTTTGTGAAGAACAAGCTTTCTCTAATATCAAAACATTTTCCATTATCATATCAAGTCTATAATCCATAACACATATATTGCCTGTGATACTCTACAGTTTACGGTCACATCACGTTTAAACACCGGTTCTCATACGATCATCGAAGTTAAGCAACATCAAGCCTGGTCAGTACCTAATTGGGTGATTGCTTAGGAATACCAAGTCTGTAAGTTTCGACATGTCAGTGGTGTAATGGCTCGGAATTGTTAATCGGAGAGCCGAGTTTCAATTCTCTTTGGGTTCGTCATATTCACTTGCGCGAAACGTGTGAATCTATCTCGTCTACACCCTAAGACGTTTCATCACTAAACTATTATTATAACAAAAATTCTTACAATCTAAAATTATTTTCTGGCTTTAAATAACCTGTAAAAGGTTGATAAGCCATAGAAAACGAAACAATCAATTTTCCTCTTATATCCATAAAAATATGTCAGTAACTATCTACTTTCAGCGGCTCTTTGCCCGTGTATTGGATGAGCAATAGTGTAAAAAATATATTCTGTCTTTAAATACCCTCAAAAGGTTGATAAGCCGTAGAGAACGAATTAATTAATCGATTCTCCTCTTACGTTCATAAAACATATGTCAGGAACTATCTATTTTGAAATATATTCTGGTATTAAATAACCTTGCATAGGGTTAATAAGTCGTAGAGAACGAATCAATCTACCGTTTAGAGTGTGTCAACTGGACCTCTACATCATTAAAGAAAATCAGAACATTCCAAAACCATATGATGAGGTTTTATGACAAACTATAAATTGTCCGAACACACAAAAATTGAGAAATTTCTGCGAGTCACGGGGTTAACTCCTACCACATCCATCATCAAAAGCATGGTTCTAAAACTTTATGAGCACACCAAACAAACAAAATCTGGCCTAAGCAAAATTTGCCTCGAAGGTATGGGAAATAAAGGGGTAGGGGAGGGGTAGAGGTAGATTAACCTAAAGGATGGTGTGATAATATGCACGAATGGATAAATCTTGACTTAAAATCATTGAACACAATGATCCAAGATCGCTATTTATGACGACGAATATATCATGTTAGTGTGCAATCTGCCGAAAGCGAAGAAAGCGATCAATGAATTAATTTTCATTAAAATATCCTAATTTATGACGTAAGCATATTTGCATTTGTCCTACGTTAAAAGACGTCATTGTATGACGAAGATATTTAGATATAGACTTGGGTGGTTGAATGAAAACAACTCTCAGTAGTTTCTTCCTGCTACTTCTGTTCGGCTGAGGACCAGAATGTATAAATTATCAGCTTTCGAGTGACGTTGGTAGTGCTCAGTTTGATGAGACCGGTCGAAGTTTTTTTGTTACAGTATCAATCAGATAAAATTGCGTTTACATGAAACAAATAATGTGTCGTCCGCACTGAGAACATTCCATTGCAACCTTCTCCACATATATAAGATCTGATGACTAAAAGACGCATATACCGAGTGTAACAGCAAAATTATTCAAATCGTGTAATAGCATGGGATAATTATCCATTCCACAGAATGTTTAATATCTAAAAAAAACACGAAACTAATTGAGTTTCTTTTTTTTTTCCGGGTTTTCAGATATGTTTAGCCATCTTGACACCATTTGTCGTAAGAATCACTGAAAATCTCTTTGAGTTATTCAGCTACAAAGAGAACAGGTTAAAATCGTTTTGTGTCAGCTCCACTATGTCTTCCCAACTGAGCTATGGTGAGAGGAAAAAGATCATTCTGGCCTTCAGTAATAGTACCAACATTCATACTCTGAACGGTGAATAAGCTTAAAAATGAGGGAACAGTAGAGAGGAAAACTGAATCAGGATGACACAACAGCAAGGGAGTCATCGTATTAACTAAATACTTATTGTTCAAAGTAGAGTCCAATAGTGTTATAAAAACCTCGGAGAATTCCACTAAGATATCTTTAATCATTTCTAAGATACAACGGTTCAAAGTTTAATCTAACAATTGAACAAGTTTGCTGTTACGCCCAGTATATATATATATATATATATATATATATATATATATATATATATATGTATATGTAAAATTTTGGTATCGGACGTCAAGCATGTGACACCTGACTAGTCTCAGACTCCCTACTCAGTAGTAATGATATGTAAGAATAGTATTCTAATTTTTACATAGCGGCAATGTAATTTACTCAGGTACAAATTCATTTAATCTAAAAATGAAAAAAATGATTTCATAAAATACAGTGTTGCGATGAATAGTAGTAGGCACACCGTTTATCTCGCGTAATCAATGTAGAGTTCTGTATGATCCAAATGCAGTCCGTTAGTGGTAATGCTGCCATTACCTGGGTGATGGTATATATGGAGGCCATGCGCTACCCAGACTACATGGCCCCTCTCTCAGTTGTATGTACAAGATCCAAAGGAATACAGGGTATTACATGTGAGGCCAGCTTGACTGCAGGAGTTGTGTTGACAGCCAACGGCCTTCGGGGCTCCACTACGGGTTTTTTGTCTGAATTAACTTCCATGGCTTTTTCTGTGTTTGGATATGACCATGCGGTGATAAGGCTATGGAAGTAATTTATTTTGCAAAGAATAGTCATTAAATATTACTACTACTTCTATTACTACAGCCAGTGAAACTAATACTATTGCTACGACTACTGCTACCAGTAAAAATAAATAGAACGTCTATCTCTTTTACTGGCAATCAAACTCTATTAAAGATGGATGAGCAGATATTATAACGGTTATCGTCGTGGAAAGCAAAATCGGTGAACCGAGTTCGAATTCCAGTTGATTCTGTTTCGTTCACTTCGCACTAACGCCTTTGAAAAACAAATGAATCCATCTTCAGCAAGCTATGGGTTAAATAGCAAGACAGAATGGGCCCTCTTGCCTTAGGTAAGAACTGATCTAGGAGAAAACAATTTTAAGGGGGATCAGCTCCGTCTGACTATCATAAAATTATGTGATCATATGCAGAAAATCAGGTCACAATAAGTATAAAATATGTAAACTAGGTGGGAACAGTAAACTATTGGAAATTGTGCAAAGAGTTCAGATATAATCACAAGCCAGAAGTTATTTTAGATAATTAAAAAAAAAATGTATAATTCGACATTAGAAATCAAACAAATTAACCACCCTAAATCAGAACTAATCGTCGTAAACAAAGAAAAGAAGGCCTGACAAGTAATAGATGACGTAATAGATCTCAAAATAAAAGTGAAAAAAGTAGGAAGCTAGAAAAACAGAGGCCACGCTGGAGAACTGAGAAAATAATGGAATATGAAGATGTCTATTGCAATTTTCATTATTAACGCAATTTAAACAGCTCCCTGAATTCATAATAAAAAATTAGAATATGCAATTAGTAAATACTAAACGGTGTATGGATCCTTTTTTTTAAATCAATTCACCCCAAGCAGCGCGATAAGGCCACTAAAATGCAAGGGGTTGCTGGGAGTGAAAGAGAATGAAAAAGACTTTAGAAGGAATCGAAAACCCAATCCTAAACAGGAAACAAATTTAGTACAGGAAATAAGGAAGTTGAACCTAGATTAGACTGAACTGGAGGTAGTTTCGCCCAACACTGCAAGTTGCTATAAAACCAAAACATTAACTTAAAAACCAGAGTCATGTTCTTAAATAGTCTCCTCAGAGCAAAACTTTCATCTGGATGTCATGCATGGCGCTAAACTATATAATCGGATATAACTAAACTGTCAGCTGTATACAACCGTTTCCTCAGATCGATGGTTAAAAATGGTTTCGAGAGAGTGAGACCTGGAGGTCTCAGCGAGGACTATCTTTCTTTGAACTTCATTGACTGGCGCTACAGAATGCCAAACAAAGATCTGTACCAAATAACAGAAACCACAGGACTTTCAACATCAGCAAATCGAAGATAAAATAATGACATAATGTTGACGTTCCACACTACTTCAAACAAAAGGTTAGGAAGGAAGCTCGCATCTATGCTGAAAAGAGTCATAACAATAAACATGAGAAACCTATTATCCTGAAAAATTGTTTTAAGAAAAAGAATTTAGAAGTTTAAACCGAAAACAACACTTCAAACAGTTCCAAAATGACTTGCAAAATGAAGAGATTTGGCAATCCTAGAAATAATTGAAACCCTCAAAACAGCACCATTATTAAAATGAGCTTGATATTTAAGAAATTGCTCGAGTTTTTAGAAGACTTCTCTCATTTGATCTCCGACAAAAGACACAAAATATGACTAATTTGAAAACTGAAACAGACCAAAGCAAAAACAATAACGATTTATTTAATAGACTGCGCCGACGTATCAGAAAGCAAAGCTGAAGTGTTAATGAGTACATGAAAAAGAGCGAAAGCTCAATAAATGCGAAGGTTCAATGAGTTCGAAGGCTCAATAAATGCGAAGGCTCAATGAGTGTGAAGGCTCAATGAGGTATCAGGCTGATTGTAAAGGTGTATCAATTTTGAAATAATATTGTAAGGTTCATTTGGAAAATTGGTTGCTGAGGAGAGAAACGCCATATGCTGTAGAAAGAAAGAAAGAAAGAAAGAAACAAACAAACAAACAAACAATTGATGTATATTGAACAATTGTCTGAGACAATGTCTTACAGGGATTTCATTTGATATAAATTAAAATATTACATGAGAAAAAGTAAGAAATGCAATGGAAAAAAAGAAAAAAAGAAAAACAATGAAAAGATTGATTGATTTTTTAATGCTTATCAACACTTTATGAGCCATTTTTAGAATGATTGTAGAAGGTTGTTTACAGTACCTGGTGTTCCCAAGCGACCCCCATCTAAGTACTAACCGGGCCCAACATTGCTTTAGTTCGGTAATTGAAGGAACACGGCTTTTTTTTTAATGTGATTTGACCACAGAGCTAAGAAAGAAAGAAATAAAGAAAGAGAGTTAAATTAAGGAAAGACAACATGGTGCCTCGGCGTGGAGCGATGATTAGTGCAGGTAATCAGGCTGAACATTATTACTAAATAGTGAGTTCGTTCTTCATTGGGTGTTTCATGCAAAAGTACTAGATTGGGATTAAAACGTCGAAAAATAAACCAACTAAAAAAATAAAACAACGGTTTCATAAATATTTGAGTTTTGCGAGAAACGCGGAAAATAAATTAAAACCAGCGGTTAATTGATTTAAAAAAAAACATAATTT